AAACCGTAAACCCTCAAACCCTAAACCCTAAACCCTAAACCCTCAAACCCTCAAACCCAAGGTATCGGCGGGCCTTGGCGGCCGGTTGCCAGCCGGACGAGACCACTCTGGCGATCCTGGGCGAAGCGAGTGTGAAAAGAAGCAGGGTGAATCTTCGGGTTTAGGATTTAGGGTTTAGGGTTTAGGGCTTAGGGTTTAGGGTTTAGGGTTTAGGGTTTAGGGTTTAGGGTTTAGGGTTTAGGGTTAAAGGGGGCTCCTTTAAAGGGGACTCCTTTAAAAGGGGGCTCCTTTCAAGGGGGCTCCTTTAAGGGGGGCTCCTTAAAGAGCTTAACTTCCCCTACTCCTTTAGGGTTTAGGGTTTAGAATTTAGGGTTTAGGGTTGGGGTTTAGGGCTTAGGGTCAAGGGCCTTAGGCCCTAAACCCAATCCCCTGCAGGGTTTATGGTTTAGAACAGCGAGATGCAGACCCGGACCCCTGGTTTGTGGAGATATATTCGGGGTTTATATCAGAATTCATATAATTTTTGGGGCTAAATAAGTAACAATAGTGTTCTTTAGGTTCGCCGTCTTAAGTCTACATACAACCACAAATCATCTGCATAGCATTAAAAAACAACAAGGCCTCCATATTAGGAGCCGCAGGGTCCTGTTGGGCTTTACATAGGGGTGTGAGATTGGAACCCGTCATGATATCAGCTTCTAGTCCTTATGAAACTATATACCATACCAGTGATATACCCCAAGACCCCTGACGGCCCCGATATTAACCCTAAACCCTAAACCCTAAACCCTAAACCCTAAACCCCTAAACCCTAAACCCTAAACCCTAAACCCTAAACCCTAAACCCTAAACCCTGTGGTGACATCAACGGTTTCGGGTCCAGGCTTTCGGGTTTCGGATTCGTAGCCCCTTGGAGTTCCTTGTTCCAACTGCTTAGGAAGGTTCTTCTCTATGGGTTTAGGTTTAGGGGTTTAGGGTTTAGGGTTTAGGGTTTAGGGTTTAGGGTTTAGGGTTTAGGGTTTAGGGTTTAGAGTTTAGTGTTTAGAGTTGTGGGTGTGAGAGTTCCGGGTTTGAGGTTTCTTTTGATTTAGGCGCTAGGCTGCAGGGTCTGCGGCTGATGGTGGTTTAGGATTGTCCCATCCATAGTGTTGTGGTAGGTGTACGTAGTAAGTCCCCTTTCCTTCAAGTTGGCCTCCGCGTTTTCGGGTCAAGGTTTGTTTGCTTTGTGTCGTTTCCGGAATTTTGAAACTTGTTCGTTGGTTGACCGTAGACCCTAAACGCTAAACCTTATATAAATCCTCCTTCAGAACCAGAACCCTACATTGGCCCTAGATCTAGACCTCATGCATCCTCATGCTGCAGATCGCGATTTCGTGCGCTGCATCAGAGGTTTGACATGTGGACCCGAAACTCTAGACCAATCTCAGAGCGTGAATTTGGTGTAGGGTTT